CCTGTTAGCCGTTCTCTGTTAGTTTGTAGCCCCTGTTAGCCGTTCTCTGTTAGTTTGTAGCCCCTGTTAGCCGTTCTGTTAGTTTGTAGCTCCTGTTAGCCGTTCTCTGTTAGTTTGTAGCCCCTGTTAGCCGTTCTGTTAGTTTGTAGCCCCTGTTAGCCGTTCTCTGTTAGTTTGTAGCCCCTGTTAGCCGTTCTGTTAGTTTGTAGCCCCTGTTAGCCGTTCTGTTAGTTTGTAGCTCCTGTTAGCCGTTCTCTGTTAGTTTGTAGCCCCTGTTAGCCGTTCTCTGTTAGTTTGTAGCCCCTGTTAGCCGTTCTCCGTTAGTTTGTAGCCCCTGTTAGCCACACTCTGTCAATCTGAGTGATGCTTTAACCTGATTTGTTAAGAATGGCCTGGTTTAACCGTTACCTGGAGACAGGTAAAGCTTCAGGAACTTGAGCTGTGATGTGAATCTCTCTGACCTTGTTCTGTTTCCTGTCAGTATCTTCACTTCCCCGGAGCAGCCGTCCACGCCGGCTCATGGTGTTCCCTCGGCGCTGAACACTGGCGGCTCGCTGCCTGACCTCTCCAGCCTCCACTTCCCCTCTCCACTGCCCACGCCACTGGACCAGGACGAACCGGGTTTCCTGGGGTCGTCCTCTTTGAGTGGTGGCAGCAGCACGGGGAACCTGGCCTCCACCCTCACCCAGCTGGGGATCAACGCCGCCAACGCGCAAGGAGGAAACGGCAGCTTCCACCACCCACCAGGTAAGTGAAGCTGTGACCTGTGAGTTTGTGCTGCAGGTGTTGCGATGTGTTGAACTGCAGTCTGTCGTGTTAGCAGTGAAATGATTGACAGGTGTGAAATCTGTGCAGGTGAGAGCAGAGAAGGGCTGCAGCTATCGATTATTTTAGTAATCGAGTAATCTATTGATTATTCCATCGATTAATTAAGTAATCGGATTAGAAATACTTTTGTCTTATTAATAACAGGTTTGTCAGAACAAACGTTGGTTTTAAAAACTGCAATGTTTTACTGCACACATCAGAAACTAAACCCCCGATTGTATTCACGCTATATTAGATCACATTTTTTAAACCCCAGTTTTTGTGCTGCTGAGAACAATGTTACGATGCTGCAGATGTTTATTAATATAAATAATAACTCAGGTCAGTGCCTCGTGTACGTTTGTATTGGTTTGTGAAAAACGCTTTTAAATAAACAACATTTAACATTATTTCACTTTCAATCTGAAAAATGTTACAAAAGCCTTGATAGGGTCTCGTACACCCCACGCCCTCCTTTAGACACACCCCTGTTCGCTTCCACGTGTAATAGGACGGCCGCGGTCGGCCAGTATCAGACTATCAGGAACTTCTGCTGAACAGCTGCTGTTTCCTCGAGATCCGAGTCTCCATATGTTTCTCGAGAGGCTGTTTGGGGCAGCGGTGACTCGGCAGGACCGCACACGGTACAGGAAGTGAGTTTCAGAGTAATGTCTGCGACGGCGAGTCAGACAGGTCGTGCTGTTAGCTGCTGAAACGTACGAAGGTCCGAGAGAATCAGGAAGACTGAAGCTGCCGTAGGAGGATGAGAGTTTAGGGTGGAGAAGCAGAGGGTGGAGTCGCCGCAGCAGAGGCCACTCTTCCTGCTGCGGCGTTTCTGACAGCGAGCGGCTCTTCCTTTGAGCTCTACTGTCAGAGTCGGCAGAGGAAGTCCGTGGGCGAGTGCTAAATTTAACCCGAGAGGAGGATTTTTGTTTAAGGGAGGAAGCGGCGTCGGAAAATGTTGAGTCGTCTGTGAGGCGACCTCAGGCAGGAAGTGGCTGAGAGCTCGACCTCAGGTTACCGTCGCCGTCCCGTGCTCTGACAGGCTGCGGACCAGGACGAGGGAACGCGTTTTTATTGTACATGAGGTCAGACAGGAACTGCAGGTTTACACCTGCTGCGACCTCCTGGGACGGAGCTGGTCGATGGCGAGGTGCGATCAGCTGAGTGCTCGGTGTTAACGTTGTTCTTGTGTCTTTCAGGACTCCTGGCATCGTTACAGAGCACGCTCGGTAACCCCTCCCTGCAGTCATCGCTAAGCAACCCCAACATCCAGTCATCACTCAGCAGCCACTCCTTCTCCAACTCCCTTAGCTCCGCCTCCCTGCACTCATCGCTCAGCAACCCCTCGCTGCAGTCGTCCCTGAGCTCCTCGCCATCGCTGCCGTCCTCCCTCAGCAGCCAATCGCTGCACTCGTCTCTCAGTAACTCCTCCCTCCAGTCTGCTTCCAGCGGTAACCCTGGTTACAGCAGCGGCGTGGGCGGCTCTGGCTCCTGCTCCTCCTCCTACTCGCCACTGATGAGTGGGCAGGCCCAGCCGCCGCCGCAGCTCAGCACGTCGCCGCGCCGCCGCGTCCAGCTGTCCCCGCTCATCCTGCCAATGGGTGGCGACTCACGGCGGCATCACTCCAAACAGTTCTCCCCGACTATCTCACCCACGCTGTCCTCCATCACACAGGTAAGCGATCACCTGTTCAAAGTCGATACAAACAGGAAGTGATGCAGTTAACGTCCCGCCTCCCTCTGCAGGGCGTCCCGTTGGACACCAGCAGGCTTCCTCTGGACCAGCGGCTGCCTCCGTACCCGCTCAGCCAGTCCCACCAGCACCAGCCCGCCGCGCAGCAAACGACGCTGCCTCAGCACCACCACCAGCCGCCGCTCCGCCTCCAGCAGCCGCGGCCCAGCAGCCAGCAGCAGCTCCACCTGCAGAACATGCGGAACCAGCACCTGCAGCAGCACTTCGGAGCGGTACGTCCCCAAATTCAGTCCTGATTCTAAAGTTCCCGTCCGTTAGCTCTGGCGCTCACCACCGTGTTTCCTCGCAGCAGCAGAGGCCGATGGGACCGCAGATGAGCGTGGCGCCGCCTGTGAAGAGCGAGGGCGTGCCGGAGCAGTGCGTCCAGACCTCGTCCTCACTCTGCCACGCCAAACAGGAAGCGGAGCAGCAGAGAGCCGGCCTCCATCAGCACCAGCAGCACGCCGGCCACAGCCTCCCCGCCGACATCTACAACGTGAGTGACCTCTGCCGCCAAAGCTCAAGTTAAACACACACACTTGCCTTAAAGTAGGCGGAGCCGGCCGCTGTCACTGCAGCGTAATGCTTCGTTCTGCTGACGCTCAGGTCGCGGCGCCCGTGCACGAGCAGTTCTGATTGTTTGAGACGTGGAAACGTCTGATTGATTTTGGCGTTGTTGTGGTTTTGCTGCGTGTTTGTGGCGGATGCTGGCGAGCGTGTCCCACGTGATGATGTCGTCGTTGTTCACACGGCAGATAAACTCCCGAGACTCGTCTGTGTCGGGGTCAGAGGTGAGGTCCTCCCACCTGGATCAGCTGGTTACTCTTCAGCAGTGACTTCATCAGACGTGTTACCGTGAACGCTTTCAGAGCACGTGCTTCAAATTATTTCGTGATATGAATTTTAGGCCATATCGCCCCGCCCTACTGCTGAGAGAGAGTGGCGTTCCCGGGACAGACGCCAGACCCGGGCCGTCCTGGAGGAGGCAGAAGGCGTAAACATCAGCATGCTAGTGAGGACGCTGAGAGTCATGTGACCAACATGAGGCTGACACCAAACATTAGATTAGTTTAAGTGTGTCTGCGTGTGTGTGTCTGTGTGTGTGTCTGCGTGTGTGTTTTACGTCCTCGGCTGATGGATTTAATCACTCTCTGTTGTCTTTTCCCAGGATGCCTTGCTCAGCTCTCTGCTGGACGACCCCTACCTGAGCCTGCAGCTCACCGGCAGATCTGAGCAGCAGGTAAATACGTCACATGTTTGAATAGAAGGAGCTGATTGGTTGTCAGTACAGCTGCAGGGTGTTTGTAAGAGGGGCTGAGATCGTCTGAGCATGTGTGGAGGAGCGAGGGTGGAGAAGAGGAGGTGCAGAGGGTGGGTGGGACAGAAGGAGATGGAGGCAGATGATTGGCTGTGGAGCTCAGGTGGAGGGTTGTTTTCCCAAAAGTAGGAGGAGTTTCATCTGTATTCTGTAGCGTGCTTCTTCAGGTGTTGATGATTTTGAGGATGACCTCCTGCGCCGTGACGTCTCAATCGAGTCACGTGACCTCAGCTTTCTCTTCCCGTTGCAGTTCGCCACAGAGACGCAGGCCGACATGCTGTCCCTGAACCACGGCGGTCTGAGCTGCAGCGCAGACAAGAACCAGTTCCCCTCCAACAGCCAGGGGGCGCTAGACCTGCAGGACCTCAGTGACCAGCAGCTCCTCAACAATCAGAACCAGAACTTCAGCGGCGGCGACGGACGCCATAACGTGCCCAACATCATCCTCACAGGTCAGTGAGACGCCAGCCAAGCGTCGTGTTTTCTGCTCGTTTCTCCCGCACGCCTCTAAGCCCCTCCCCCTGCGTCTGCAGGCGACTCTCCGACGGGCCTGTCCAAAGAGATCGCCAGCGCGCTGTCCAACGTCCCCGGCTTTGAGATGGACTCCTTCTCGCTGGACGACCAGCTGCGGATGGACCCGCTGTCCCTGGACATGCTGGAGGGCAACCTGATGCTGGCCGACCCGGCCGTGGAGGACTCCTTCCGCTCGGACCGGCTCAAGTGACGCCGCCGACGCTCCGGGAACGGCGCCCGCACCTGGCGAGGACTCCGCCCTTCCGTCGCTCCCCCACAGCCGGTCTGTCGAGCGAGCTTTGGAAGAAGGCGCCTTCGTCGATGAAGGAGCTGAGATCGGTGTGGGGGGAGGGATAAACTGAAGGAGGCGGAGCCTCACTGTCAATGGCACTTAAACTGAAAACGCTCTCGCTTGCTTGAAGTCAGAAACTGCTGCAGATTTCTGACCACTCCCCGCCCACGCCCGCCGTCATGATGGCGTCACGCCACAGGAGCGGAGGCGTGAGAGCGGCGTGGAAGCCACTTTCTGCTCCGACAGCTACTTTAACAGGAACTTAGCCATGACCCCTGACCCCTGACCCTGCGTGCTGCTTCTGCGCGGGCTGCTCCACTTTTATGCAGAACTCATTTTGACGTGTGAGCATGCTCGGACCCGCCCACCTTTACGTTGCCTCTGACTGGACACGAGCGTCGACCTACAGCAGCTGAGCGTTGCCGTGGTCACGCGGGGCACTTCGAGCTTTCTCCCGCCGAGGCTCGTCAGGAGAACACGCCCCTCAGCTGGAGAACTGCCGTGGCTACACGAGGAATGGACACACCCACCTCGGCGTCACCTGTAGGTCAGAGACGTCCCGCTTCGGCGCTGTGAGTCGACGCGTCCCGTGTCATCACACGATCTGCTCTTCGGCTTCTCTGTGCGAGTGTCAGCTGATCTGAAGGCGGAGCATCGACGGCGCTTTGACCAGCTGACGTCTGTCTGTTACATCCACATTCCCGCCGCCTGCAGATCGTCAGCTGACCTTTGAACCCAAAGCGATGCTTTTCAAAGAGGAGCGCGAGCCTTCCTCCTCCTCCTCCTCCTCGTGTGTTTTTATGAACTCGAGTATAAAGATTTTATTTTTGTAAATAACTCAGATATAAAAATCATATTTAAGAAGAAAACGTTTAGCTCGCCGCCGTCGTGAGATCAGCCCGCACGTCCGCCTGACTGCTTGAACGTCGGAGCTCGTCTTCGACGCCTTCGTCTCGATGCGCTCACCCAGGATGGCGAGGTCCCAGCAGAGTCCAGCCCCGCCTTAAAACAAATGAGCGCGTTATCAACACGTGATTGTGATCAGAGCCTGACAGGAAGCAGCACGACCACAAAATATTTTTCTGTTTTAAACAGATTTTATTTTATTCTGAAAATATTTGAATGAATTTAAATTTACGGAAGTTTCACTAGGAGCAAAAAACAAAAGTTATTTTTAAATGTTTCACATCATAACCAAATAAAGAGATTATTAGTTAATGACAGCAGAAAAAATAATTTATGATCCTGAAAGGATCAATGTTTTTATATTTAAAGATAAAATACTCTATCATGGCCCTGACGGGCTGCCGTAGGAATCAAAATCCTTCCTGTTTCAGCCTGGAAGGTTTTGGGAAACCTTGAATCCAAAGCAAGCGTGTTGGGGGAGGAGCTTCAGAGCAGCCTTGCTGGTTTCAGGAGGTCGGGAGGCGACGAAGGTGAGGAAGAGCAGTGGACTGGAGGTTCAGGTGTATCTGCTGCCCCCTGCAGGTCGCTCACAAGATGAAGGTCACAGTCGAGGACGGGAAAAACGAAGCTGATCTCTGAGGACCTGCAGACAAGCTCCTCCCACCTCAGCCCGGCCATCAGGAGCAGCAGCCGCTCCAGTCGTTGATCGATTGACCTCCTTGTCCTTCAGGCTCAGCGACCCGAGACGAGAGGTCAACTTCGTCTTCAGCTTTCGCTCCGTCGATCAATACCTGATCAGCTCATTGATCGCCACCTGATCTGATCAATATGTTCACACCGACAAGCTGCCGTAGAGCAGCCAATAAAAATGCACCGCACTTCACGTCATCACAAGCGTCAGCCAATCAGGTCACGTCATGAAAAACCCGAGAAGTCAAAGTGCTGCACACGAGACGTGTGACCTTTGCACCTCCTCCTGGAGGAGGCGCGGCGGCGCCCTCGGGTCGCGGCGGCGCCTGTGTCAGGACCACCGCAGGTACAGAAAGATTAAAAAGCTCGAATATTTTCTGAGATTAAAGTCGTAATTTTATTAAAAAGCTTTTTCTACTTTTTGAATCTGAATATTACAAATATATAAATATAAATTTCACAGGTTTAAATCTGAAATATTTCTTCTTCTAGTTTTCATTTAACAATTATCAATGACTCGTTTTAAAAGCATTTCCTGTTCCAGGCTGTAAAGTTCTGACCTCCACTCTCACTCCAAATGCTAAGGCCTGATTGGTCAGCGTTTGGAAGCCTGCAGAGGGGCAGCACCTGCATGCTGGGAGCAGATGACCATATAAGGACGTCTGTGCCGAGGCGACGTCACAGAGGCAGAAAAAAGTTTTAAAGAAAAGCTCAGAGGTGACTTTAGTGTTTATAGCTGAAGCTTTGATCATGTGACACGTTGACAGTGGCGTAACGTTAATCCTCCGTCCTTCCTTCTTTCGTTTCCTTCGCCCGTGTCGCCGTTCGCACCACGAATACAAATAAAAATATGAAATATTTTATTAAAAGTTTCTTTGGTGGAATCGGCGACGCCTTCGTGTTCAGCAGCAGCGTTTCTTCTTTCTTCTTCTGTTAGAATAAAACCAAAACGCGTTCGATCAAACGGACGGAGAAGCTTCGTGCGGCGATCCTGGAACAAAATCGTGTTTTACTTCCTGTTTAATGTTTTTTCCTTTCATACGACGTTCAGTAGGTCAAAAAGTTCAAAACTGAGGAAGAAATCCCAGAATTCACGTGTGTGTGTGTGTGTGTGTGCGTGTGTGTGCGCGTGCGTGTGTGAGACTGTTTTCTTGTTATGCAATAACTGTGCAGAGTAAGCCTGCAGTTCCAGTCTCTGCCAGTGGAGGGCGCTGCTGACCTGTGTGTGGATTAGGGATCAGTTTAAGGCCATATTTCATATTTTTCATATTTTTTATTGATGTGATATTAATTTCTCTCATTAATGTTTATAGTTTTTTTTCATGTTTTTTAGACTCCAGAGTTAAAAAACAAGAACAGCTGAGCGCTCTGCGTCTGTCGCTTCATGTTTGAATAATAAAGTTTGTTGCTATTGAGATTTTTATTGTCATAACCAGGGAACGTTGAGTGCTGTACATATGAAAACGTTTTGAACCCAGAGGTGTTTTTAAAGCGCAGCGGCTGGAGGTTCACCGTGTTTTACAGAAAATAAAGAAATAAAGCTGAAACTGAAACGCCGACTCTTCCTTTGTTTCTGTGAAAAGTTTAAGTATCACAGAGGTGTGATGCTGCTCACTCTGGGAACCAGTGAATATACTGGGAGGTGTCTGCAGGAACATCGGGACCAATGAAGAGCAGCGGGGACGAAGAACACCCCTGCCGGTGTTGTGCCAAAAAGTGATTGCCTGCCAAAAACTAATTTCCAATGTTTCCGTGTGTTTTTTATGTGAAATATCGTTACGTATGTTGCTAAATAGACTTTGGTGAACAGGTATTACAAATGGGTTATATGTAAAATTGAAAAAATTACCTGTTTCTCAAGTATCTTTGTAACTGTGTTATTGTTCTTACATTATAATCAATCAGCTCCCTTTTGTCCACTTAAAATATCTTTACAGAACTATTTTTGCATTTGTTGCAATTTCAGCTGTCCTCTTGGCCAGATTACGCTTAAAAGAGAAATTTTTAAAGTCAACAATAATTTTTTTAACTGCATAAATAAAAGATACATAAAAGTCACTGCCAAAAACTGATTGTGGCTTCTACCTTGTTACAGGAATGTTGTTTATTGCTCAAGATGATGTGATATAATTTATGAGGGATACATTTGACATATGTTACACATATTATAGACCAACAAGTTATTTATAGCAGTTTAAATACAAGCAATCAGTTTTTGGCAAATACCAGAAATCAGTTTTTGGCACAACACCGGGTCCCGCAAGTGAGATGGAAAAACCAATCCATTTGTCAAAACTGCTGCTGTCCTTGGACTTGCATATACAGTTTTGACCCAGTTACAAAATCCAGGCCCAAACCCGAACCTTGCAGAGGTTGTCATAAGGAAGCCTTCTCAGCATCAAGCGAGAAGACCACGATCGGGGCTCGACTAGATTTGCTTTTGTGCATGAGATGAAGAAGTCTAATGTTATCAGCTGAAGACCTATATAAAGCATATAGTTAGGGCTGGACCAGGTGACCCTGAATCCTCCCTTAGTTATGCTGCAATAGACGTAGGCTGCCGGGGATTCCCATGATGCATTGAGTTTTTCCCTTTCCAGTCACTTTTCTCACTCACTCCAGCGACCCGTCTTTGTTCTGTGTTTAAATCCGCACCTCTACCGTGGCATGAGCACTAACGGCAATAGCACCAATCTCACAGTCGACAACTGAATCAACCAAAGACTTTGATATTAAGGCGAAATCTAACCTTGAATTATTCCCTTGAATTAGGATTAACTAACCTCCAAATGTCTACTAGGCAAAGATCCTCCATCAGTAGTCGAATAGCCTCTGTGTCCCTGGGTGTAGACCTTCCCCTGGGTTTGTTCTTAGTGATTATCCCATCCATCACCTGGTTGAAATCCCTGCTGCTCTCGATCACCGGTTATCTTGTTAATTCTGTGAAATAAATCTGTCTCTTCTTTATTAGGTGCATAAATATTACACAAACCCATTTGAACCCCACTGATTAAAGCTTCCAAGCATAAACGCGCCCTTCTTTATCATTATATTTTTTCAGCAACACGAAGCTTAATTTTGTATTAATAAGGATCAAAACACCGTTTTGTTTACTTGAATATGAAAACCGGAAATATATTCTGATGTTATTTTATTCAGAGTATTATTATATAAGTATGTTTATGAACCCTTGAGATAGATATGTTTACCTGGTTAATCGGGTGGGAGGTGTCTCACAGGAAGTCTGTGTCGAGTCTGCGTGGGTTCTCGCCCACAGGTGTGACAGTGACTGGTTGTCTCACTGTGTTAGCACCTGTCCAGGTGCTCTGTGGTAGCTTTAATATATAATAACATTAAACCATATCAAATGTGACGATTGTGTTAATTAATATGGCGAAATAACGAGACTGTGGAATTTTGTTGTTGTGGTTGAGGCCATTTAAAATGATTTTATTTTGAAGGGGTTTACCGGAAGCTGTCGGCGCTGTTGACGCTGATTGGCTGCTTGCCTGCTGCGGCTCGTCGGAGCAGACGGACAAACATGGACGTCACATGTGAGAGAATGACCTGATCATGGACCGTAGAGCCCGCCGCGGGAACAACCAGCACCGACACACAGGTACCGGGGACCGGAGGGTCCGGGGAGGACGGGCCGTGTTTCACGCGCGACTCGGAGCGACCGCCGCGCTAGCTGCGGGTGGAACTAGCTTAACGGAACCGCGTTTAATGTCAACATCTACAGCTGCCCGGTGTGCGAACCGCGAGGAGCGGAACCGTGCTCCAGCGGGCCTCGGTGGGCTCGCCGTGATCCCGCTGTCCGCGAAAGCGGGTCGCGTTGCGGTAAACGCGCAGAACGGGACTCGAAAACGAGCGCACCCAGGCGGGCATTCTCCGTCCGATAATGGAACCCGTGTCCTGCTGGGGCCGCTCGGCGCTCCGGCGGCGGCCAGCGTCGGTCCGCGGGCTCAGAGAAGGCCTAACCCGGAGCTATGTGTCGGTATCACCGTGGTTCGGTTTTCGGACGTTCTTCAGTCTCGGACCTGTTTATTGTAGCGTGGAAATGACGCGTGCAGAGCCCTGTCCGATAATGGAACCCCGCTGTGGATGTTGTGGAGGAGGTTTTGGATGTAGCTGATGTCCCCCCAGCACCAGCACCTGCCTGCACACCTGTCTGTCTCCTTGTTGCACCTGCGAGTCATGTTCAGCGGGGGACAAATTAAAGGAAAAGCCTGCATGAAGGAAGCTGCTGCTGCTTCTGCATCACTCCTCCAGCTCTGAGCTCCGGCTCTCCACCATCATCCTCAAACTCCTGAAGGTAGACAGGGCCCTCTAACCTGCAGCCACAAAGCCTGAGCTCAGGTGAAATCCACGGAGGCTCCTTCCTCCTCCTCAGTCAGAGCCAAGCTCACCTTCCCGTTTTTTTCCTTTAATTTGTCCCTGTGTGTGTGTGTTGTAGGTTTGCTCTCGTGGAGAACGAAATATCAGATTATTAAGGAAAAACTGACAAATCAGAAATCAGCACGTGAGCTCGATCACCTGATCATCTGGTTGCCGGTTCGAGCCCCGGCTCGGACAGTCTC